GCCCTATTGTTCTCTCTTTATTTGGCTGGTGATGAACATCACATCATCCCCTCCACTTGCAGGGTCAAGTTAATGGCTTCGGTACTCTATTGCAAAAATGAGTTTCTGCATTATTGCACCAATATCCTAAGATACAAGAGTTGGTCAAAAGCTCAGACTTGACTAAGTGGGTTTCTCTGCAGCTGGAAGAGCAAAGGAGCATTGGGGGATTTACATTTTTTGCCCCCATTATTGAGCACCAGGGAAAGCGAGCGTGCCCACGTGCGGTTGATGAGCGATTCTTTGAAGGCACGGACGGGCAGCCAGGCACCCAGCTCTGCAATCGGCCCGTCAGCTGCAGTGTATCAAATGCCCGTGCATAACTCCGCAGCGTCGTGGGCAACGATCAGCTCGTGGCTCTGCCAGTGCCCTGGGTGCCCGGCTGCTTCTGCCCTGCATGGCTGGGGGACCTGGGCTGTGCCCTGGGCATCCCCGGCGCGGGACGTGGCTGAGCAGGGGATGTACCTGCCACAAAGCTCCCATTCACACCTCAGCTTCTGATGAGTGAGAAAAGCGAGGTCACGACAGAACTATTTATTCTCCCCCATTGTGGCCGATGTTGTATTGAGTTTCAATTGTCTGAGCCCTGGGCAGCCTTTGAAATGGGCCGTGACACCCCAAAGCCATAAAGCCCATCTCTGGAGGCTCTTTAGCAGCCAGAGGAGAGGTTTACAAGTTTAAAGTGCTTTTCTTTAAACTTTGTGGGACTCTATTTTTAGCAAATAAAGATAATGTCCCAGTTGCTGTTGTTCATCTTTTGTTGCACGTAACATGCCAAATACTTACCATGTCTGCCATATTTTTTTATCATTTAACCTTCTCTGAGCTGCATTGCGGCTCTCTTACGCTGTAGCAGAAATTATGGGCTATCTGCATGTACAAATCCTCCCCGGGCTACTGGATTACTTTTAAAAGATCTCATTCTCCAGATTGAATTCAGAAAAGAGAAAGAAAAGGTAAGTCACAGCTCTCTATAAAAAGACTTTTCTCAGTCTGGGCAGGGTGCATTCATTCTGGGAACTCCCAAGGACAGGGCAGCACTTTTTTTTCCAACTTTCTGGATTAAATTGGACCGTTTTTTTTTTGCACTTTTGCTTGGAAACTCAAGCTTTTTATGCCCTTTCACAGACGTCAAGAGCAAACAGAGAGGAGGAGGGACTCAGGACCCTACTGGGACCGAGGACTGAGAGGAGAAATGCTTCTGTTTGAGTAAACTCTGTCCTGCATAGTCATTAAAACTCTTGGACTTTGTTCTTCGCTTCCATCCCTTGACCAACACCTGGGAGAACAGCCCTTGCCCCGTGGGGGGAGGGTCTAAGCAGGCTCCCAGTACAGGGCAGTTTTCCAGCAAGACAAGACTGGATCACCAGACCCCTGGATTCACAGCCTGGATCTATAGGTATTGAGGTGTGAATCCAAAGTCACTGATCAAAGGGATGACAGAGAGGAAAAAGCCAATAGGACTTCCGAGTCCAGAAAAGAGACAAGGTGGGTGTGTTAGAGAGCTGTAATCACAGAGCTTTATTTCAGAGCTAGATCTCTAAAAACAGAGCTAAGAGGCTTGCAATGAGCTGGACAACTCCTGGCGCTGGTAATAGGATAAAGAGCCGGTCATCTCTCGGCTGGGCCTGGCCACCAGTGATGATCCATCTGTGGAGGGCAACAGCAGGAGAAATCCCTCCAGCATGGGTAGGCACATCCCGGGGCGGGGGGCTGCCTCTGCACCGCCTCCGAGTGCGTCCCACTGCGGGGTGCCCCTGCCTGGAGCATCCCCTTGCTGCCCCCGGGGCTGGAGGTGTGCACGAGGGCGTGAGCAGCACATGTGTGAGCACAGCACACCTGTGTGAGCCTGGCACCCTCCTCAGCTGTCATGGTCTAGGTTAATATATATGTATGGATGTATATATGTACAGCCTTAATCCACCCACAGCCTCTCCACAGGTTAGATGGGTCGGGGACTCTCCTGCACGGCCAGGCTCCGGGGTGACGGGCTTGCTGCAGGGCTTGGCCTTGGTGCAGCTCCACACTTGGTGCCACCTCTGCTGCTGGATAACAGTAGCTTTAGGGAAGATGGGAAACTGAGGCAAGAGACTTTATCCTTGCAAAAAATCATGAAGTCAGTGGCCAAGAGAGTAAAGGATCTCTTCCTCACAGGCAGTCCAGCAACACGTCTTACAGCCCTGAGACACCAAAGAGAGGGGGAGGTCTCCTTACTGGGAAGTTTTCAAGGCTTGGCTAAGTAAAGCCACAGCCACTCTGATCTCATGCTAGGGACAGTCCCACTGTCAGCCGGAGGCTGGGTTAGAGACCAGCCCCTTCCCTCTCATTCCCTGATGTGAGGAAATGTCTGAGCTAATCCCCAGTGGTAGAGCAGAGAGAAAAATTAGTATCCGTGGGCAGCACACTGGAGTCAATGAAATAATTCACAGTTTCCCAGTTTTGTGATTGCAGATTCCAAGCATCATATGTGGATTTACTCATTCCGCTCCCAAAGCTGCATTAGTGAAAAATTAAGTCCAAATAAAAATGCAGATCTGAGGCTAGTGTTCAGCTGTTGTTCTGCTGGCTACACCTAAGCATCACACAACCCCCTCTTCACCAGCAATTGATGATTTCAAACATTCATAATGCAGGTTGCAAACCAAGTCCAAGCCCACTGCTTTTGTTGGAGCATCACAGTTATATCATAAATACGCTGTGAAAATGCTTAAGTAATTATACTACTCTAGCAGGTACACAAATGATTGCCTTGTGATGACAGTAAATTTTTTTTCTAGTTATGCTGTTGTGCTGATGGTACTTTACCAGCAAATGTGTTAAGGTTATTTAATTTTATTACACTTATTGTAAGGGCAAAGCAAGTTTGAATTGACAGTTCCCTTACATGTTTAAACAAAAAAGTAGGAAAGACCTGGTTTGGTTTGGACTCATTCACACACAAACAAATTTTATCTCTTCCTTATACAGATATGTTCGTGCAGAAATAACCCTCTTGATTCATCACATTGCCATTTTGAGCCCTATTGCTGGGAAATTAATGTCCTGCAAGTATATGAAACTGTTCTGAAATCTGAGATTTACCAGATGTACTCAACTGAAGAGGCACAGAACAGCCCCGAGCCTTGGATCTGTCCGAAATGAGAGCAGAGAGCAACCCTATCTCCCAATGAATTGAGACAAAGTGAATGCAAATACACATCTAAAGTGGGAGAAAAATATCAGCTTGCATTACGCCGCGGGGCGTCCTGGAGACGGCTGAGGACTCGGGAGTGCCTCCCTACAGTGGCACGGCACATGGCTGGAGACGTCTCCATGGGGACACCCAGCTGCACTCAACAGCCTCTCTGGGAACAACGGGGGGGACACCTGCGGTGGGGGCTGCCAATGCACTGGGCTGCATGGAGGTACCCACGGCCACCCCCTTTTCCAGGTCCTGTTGGTGCCGTGCAGCAAAGGGATGTGGGCAATGATAACGTTTGAGAAATGGCAAACATGAGGATGTTTCCAATATCGGTTTGGTTTGTATTCTTTCATTTCCAAAGCCAGGCTTGCAGTTCCTCTGCCTTCCCCTGCCTGCAAAGGGCGAATTTCAGCTCCTGTGAAGGCAACGGAAGAGGCAGCTCCAGTAGAAGAGAAAGTGCCAACGAGTTACCATGAAGGTGTTTTCCATTGCTTTTGGCTCACAGCAGCCTCAGAAACAACACTGGGGCCTCGCAGTAGCTACTCTGGGCACGGTTCACAGTGTACAGCAAACCAAGGCCCAGGTCACAAGTTCTCCATGGTGAAAACACCAAGACACTCTAGGAAAGGAAAGGCAGAGCAGGGGCAAGCTTGCTCCTCAAGACTGCCTTTCAGGCTCAGCGGACCCCTCCAAGTTGAGATGATTTCAAATTCATTGTATAGCATGAAACGGAGCTGGGGTGTCGCCTTGGCTCTCCTCCCTCGGAGGAAGCTCTCCTTCCTGTGGGAAAGGCAGAGGTTTGCAAGATCTCCCTTTGTTCATCTGCAGGGATGCTGGTGGTGACCCTGAGGTGGGGCTCAAGCGCCCACGGGCTCCCTGGAGGGGCAGAGTCCCCAATGGCGGTGGCCCCTCCAGAGGCCGGGGCTGTCCATTGCCCGGGCTCCTGCCATTTGGAGCCACAGAGGGATGGGACTTGTCCAAATCTCACTGTGGCCCAGGTGCTTTCATTTCCCAAGCCAGGCTGGCAGCTCCTCTGTCCACCCCGGCCGGCGGCCATGCTGCTCGGCCTGCCCCCTGCCGCGCGCTGCCCCCGAGGCTCAACACGTCCTCTGGCACCGCTCCACTGGCCGAGGTCTGTCGACAGCAAACGTCTGCGGTTTTACCGAACACGGCAGCTTTCTCCCAGTTTTCATCAGACGGCCCCCGCCGCATGCGGCTGTACGCAGGCCCGCGCTGGGGCGCCCCCTCTGCAGGCAGAAGGAAAACGGGCGGATCGGTGTTTTTTCCCCCCGGGTGGGGTCTGGCCGGGGCAGGACACGGGCTCTGCAGCGCGGGGGCTTTCCCCGCCGGGGTGACAGTGGCTTGGGGGGCTCTGCATTTCCCTCCCCGCAGGGGAGCGCCGGGCGGCACCGCCCCTGGGTGCTGAGGTCGCTGTTCCTTAGCTTGAACCCCCCCGCTGCGGGCCGGCACCCCCAGTGACATCACAGCACGACATCGCAGCATGACGTCACACACACACACCCCGACGCGTCTCCGCTCCGGGGTACACTCCCCCCAGTCCCCCTCCCCGGATGCAGATACGCATGCGCGCTCACAACTCCTCCCGCAGATCACTCCCCCCGCCCCCAGGCCGCTCTCCCGCGTTGATAGGTCAGATGAGCTGCCAATCCGTGTTAGGGACGGGTCGGGACTGGGAGGCCTGTCCAATGGCGTGGTGGTGGGCGGGGCGTGCCGGAGCGGCGGGCTGTTGCGGCCACGAGCAGGTGAGGGCCGGGGCGGCGGGGCCGGGGCCGGTCAGTCCCCGCGGAGGTGCGTGGCTGCCCGCCCCCGTGGAGGGCCGTGCTCCGTAGCGCCCAGAGGGTTCCACATGGGCCTTCCTGAGGCGAGCGGCGGCGCGGCCGTGGCAGCCGGCGGTGCCGGCTCCTGAGGTAGGGCCGGGCCGGGCCGAGGGATGTGCAGCCGCCATCGCCCGTGCCTGAGCTGGGCAGCGGGGCTGGTGCTGAGCTCGTCGCGCTCCGGGCTGCCCGCCTCCCCCGCTGGGAGCGCCAGGCCGGGCTGCCAGGCGGGGAAGGCGGCGAGGCTCCAGGGACCGGGTGGGTGACTTCTGCTCTGCCTCCTCAGAGACCATGGCAGCGCCGTGGGAAGATGTCCTGCGTAACCAGCCGGCCATCCGGGAGGCAGCGTCGGTGGCCGTGGACGCGGCGCTCCTGGGAGGCGTGCTGATGCGCACCGAGGGGGAGCCCAACGCCTCGGATGTGAGTGCCAGAGCGGAGTCACGGGACGTGTTCGGTCCTGGCCAGGGTGTGAGTCAGCAAAGCGAGAGGAGCCTGGCTGCCATCCCCGCCTTTGCTGAGCCCTCGTCCGCGTGCGTTGCTCTGCAGTGAGCACCCAGCTGCCTGGCTGAAGCATGAGTGACCTGGGGGGCTGTAACCTGCACCCCATACTCCTGATGAGTCCCCCCTTCCCAAGAGACAGCCCTATAACACAGTTCCTCTTTTCCAAGCGGAGGGATAGATCTAGAAGGGTTTGAGAAATTGCCAGGAGCCCTGTGCGTGGGTGATGGTGGGGGTTCATCCCCCTCCCAGCTTCTCACCACCTGTATGATCCTTTGAACCAGGGGAGCGTCTCTGAGGGGCCTCTGTTTTTGACAACAACACGTCAGCTTTTGCCCCATACCCGGGACGAGAGGATGGGGGCTGGGGTGACTGATGCGTGGGATTCCCTCTGGTGAATCTGAGCTGGGGGCGCTGATGGGGGAGTCGGCCCGTTGGTGGGGATGCCGTGAGGGGTCTCAGAAGAAGTACCCCTGTGCACGAGGGGTGGGACACAGTCAGGGACGGGTCCCTGAGGAGCATGCAGGCAGCTGCACTGGGAGCTGGTAGAGGTATGAGGCGGGAGGTCTCCTCCCACCACCACGGGGGCTGCTCCTTGATGTCAACCCCACGGTCAGGTCAGGGCTCTGAGGGAACCTTCAAAGGGTGAGAGGAAGAGGGAGCCTGGGAGGAGAGACCAAAGACACTGCCACTGTCCCTTGTCTTGTGTAAAAATCAAGGTGAATTGAGAAGTTCTATCTGGTATAATATTTTGGCTTTGAGGGTGGTCCTGTGCCTGAGCTGTGGGGTGGGCCAGGGGTCCAGGGTCACCCCTGGGCCTCAGTAAGCAGGAATCAAAGGATGGCCAAAACCCAGGACTGGCAAATTTACTTTTTCTCTGAAACAGGTGTTTTGGAGACAGTGCTCTCAGTTAATGTGGAAACAGAGCATCCTTCTGAGGGAAGCGTTCAGCTCAGCTTGACCTCTGCAGCAGCTGCTCCCACCTCTGCAGCACCCTGTGGGTGGCTTATAAAGAAAGGCCCTCAAAAGTCAGGGCTCAGCAGGGTTGAGGCCATGTGTTTGTCCAGGGTGCGCCGAGGAGGGCTGGGGATGGCTTCAGCCTTCAGACAAGCAGAGAAAGCACCTCTTTAGCCCCACGTAAACTGCGTAGACCTGACTGCTCTGCTGCTGCATCTTTGTCTGCAGGTGGTGAATTACGCTCCCTTCACGCTGCTCCCTTCTGCAGTACCAAGTGCCCTGTTTGAACAAGCATACGCTGTGCAGCAGGATTTTAACCTGCTGATGGATGCTATTAGTCAAAACAAAGAATTCCTGGAGCATACTCTGGCCAGGTAACTTTCTTGCAGGTTGCATTTGAACGAAGTATTTTAAATGCAAAGCATTTATCACCTGTCAGGCATTTCTAACTTCCATCCCTTCATGTCCTTCACGCTGAGGTGGGCACTCCTGTCCTCTGCAGAATTTGTCTCCTTTGCTGCATTATTTGTCGTAAGATTAATTTCCATCAAGTTTCAGTGTTTTTGGGTCTGCTTGAGCCTCAGAAACTGGAACATCTGGCCAAGAGTTGACTCTGTGCAGTGGTCTTCAGTTTTGTCAGTGTTTCAGACTTGTGAATTCTTACATGTGAGCTTGTTGGCCCCTGGGCCTTAAATTCAAATTACTGGAGTCTTCTTTGAGTCCTGGACTTTGTAGTCTCTTTTAGTCTTGTTTTGAATCTGCTTGTGTCTACCCGACAACCACCAGCTCTGCTGCCTGCCCGCAGTTATGAAGAGGTGCTTGTTCCTTCCCCCACACCGACTTCTGACCAGTTACCCCGTGTCCCCAGCCGTGCCAGGAAGGTGACCCACAAGCTCGGGGTGCTGGAGGACTGGTCAGCTCTGGCTCTTGAACTCCGTTGGATTTGTGTGTAGCTGGAGTGACCATCCCAGACTGTGGCCCCAATGATACGTAGGGCGGATGCTTCCACAAAAGCCATTTCTCTTCCTGCTGCCTAGTCTGTGCTTCCTGTCTGCGCAAATGCTCCTGGCTCTCTGGCACTGGGACAGAGCAAAGGAAACTGTTTTCCGGCTTCCTTTTTGTTTTGCTAAAGCCTGGCCCCTCAGAGCTGTTTTAATGCTTGTGACTGTTCCAGAGCTGGCTGCAACCGGAGCTTGTGGGGGCATGTTTATACCTGTGGTTATAGAATGCGGCGCCTGGGGTTTGTGTGCGCTCAGGCGCCTGCCCTGTGCCTCCTCCTGTGCAGTGTCTCAGGGCAGCTCCTTGGAGGTGCTGCCCACAATTAACTCGGGGATTTGGGACCCCGAAGAAAAGCCAGACCTACTCAAGCAGGGCCACTGAAGCACTTGGCACCACAGTGTGTGGGATTTGGAGCTGAACAGAACAGGGGGAATTTGATGAAGCTTGTGACGCTTCTATGGACTGTGTGTGCAGGCACGGAGAGGCTCTGATTGCTTTCCTGTATCTGCAGAATTCTGCTTCATTTTGTTGCTTTTGCATGTCCTGTTTCTGCCCTGTAAATGAAAGTCACCTGTGTACAGCAGTGCTTTTTGTAGAGTGGCTGTGCTGGCAAACTGGATTTGCATTATGGTTTAATGCACTGTGACCCTTGATGAAGAGTGCATTCGTGGTGAGATGCTTAACAGTGCTGTAGGACTTGCTCTAGCCACAACCCTGCTATTTTTGCTGGAGAATTAATTATTAATTCTGGAGAGGAATTAGTTTTCTTGTTCCTGTGCGACAGAGTAAGGGGGCTGATCTGGCCTGTCTTTCTCTCTAGCACCATCAAGGTAGATGACTTCACAGCTCGGCTCTTCAGGATCCACGTGCAAGTTTTGGAGGAAGGCTTGGCTCAGGTACGCTGGCAGGACACCCCAGCTCTCAACCACTGTGCCCCTTTGCATGGCAGTGAGATTGCCTGGCCTCTGTCTGCAAGCTTGCTGCTCTGGGCTTTGAACTGTCCCGTAGTCAGGCTGCCCATCCCTACACCCTGTCTCGGTTACAGCCTGTGAGCTCAGGACCTTGCCCTGTTTGACAGCCGTGCCCTTTGGTTAGCGCTGCTGGAAGCAGTCAGGCCTTGACTGGGAGGATTTAATATGGTTTGTCCTTGTACTTTGGGAGCCTTGGGTGGGTTTAAAGACGTGTGCCAGGTCAGGACCTGCGCCTGATGGGCTGCCACTGCAGAAGCTCCTTTGCTCTCATGGGTGTTGTTAACTCCTCTGGAGTACCGAGGAGGGCCCTGAGCAAGGGCCAAGGCACCTACAGACTTGTCTTGCAGAGATTTTTATCAAAATGAAGGTGACTGTATCTGTCCCAGGAGAATTTTGAAGCTAGATCATCAAGGGGGTTTGCAGTTAAAGGCGCCAGGCAAACCTACTTCACCTCCCTTCTGTTTTAGTCTGTGTTTTTAGGCATAAACCGCTCTGATTACATGTTTGACTGTGGGGTGGATGGGACACCAGCTCTGAAGCAGATAGAAATAAACACCATTGCTGCCAGCTTCGGAGGCCTCATCTCCCGCACTGCGGCTGTCCACGGGTAAGGGAGCACCTCTGGCCCGTGCCGCCAGGCGCTGCGGCAGCTGTACTGCATGGTCTGCTGCACTCCGCGCCTGTGCGTGCTCTCCCAACTCCTGCTCCCTAGGTCCAGTTGGGGGCTGTCATGGCATTTACAACTTTTTTTTTTTTTTTTTTTTTTTTCCCCCCACAGGCAGGTGTTGAAAGTGCTGGGAAAGTCTAAGGAGGCATCGCACCTGCTGCCCAACAACCCATCGAAAGGACTTGCCTTGGGTATTGCGAAAGCCTGGGAGCTCTATGGCTCTCAAAGGTGAGGAGAGAGGAGGTGCTGCAGGCTGGGTTATCTTGTCGCCCCTGGGGATGCACATGTTTGGTTTTGAAATTGTGCTTTCTGAAAAATGTCTGTTTTGCTTTACAAGTGGCTCTTGAAAAGCCTGTGCCACCCTGGGAAGAGCAATGTGGTTGTCTTAGCATGCAAGACTGCTGTGTCACAAAGGCAGAGAGGTGCAGAGAGAGCCTGGGGGAGTTGTGTGGTTCAACAACCCTGCACAGTGCTTGCTTTTCTTCCTGCCCTTGTACCTATGCCCTGCACTGGTTTGGTAATTACACAGGGTCAATACTGCTCTCCATTTGCATGCTGACCCTTAGAAACACTGCAGAAAACAAGCAGGAGCAGTGCAGGAAACCTGAATCAGAAATCAAAAGATGGTGATCCTGTGTACACATTGAGTGTTTCTGGGCTTAATGGTGTCTTTGGTATCTCTTCCAGTGCTGTGGTGATGTTTCTGGTGGAGGAGGTCCAGAGGAACATTTTTGATCAGCGATGCGTAGAAAATGAGCTTTGGAACAGGTAAAGGTTGAATTTTCCCGGCATGGGAAGGGAAGGAGATCACTTGGCTTTGTTTTTTTTCAAAACAGTACTGACTGCTGCCAGATCATGGCATTTCCCTCAAGGCAGCTCATGGGGCGTCTCCAGCAGGCGCGACGTGGCGGTGGGAAGGGAGCAGAGGAGCAGGCCAGGGAAGGATGGAGGTGTGCAGAATCCATTTGCTTTTTACTTTGTCACCTCCTGAAGTCAAAAACATTTTTATAGTTTCTGGGACTGTAAGAGGGCGTGTCGTGGTATGTAACAGGGCAGCCTTTATCTCTGTGGTCCGTTACACAGCTGTCTGCGGCGTTCCTTCCGTGGCCGCCTGCCTAGCCTCAGCACCAACCTCCCAACGCCTCTCACCAGCACTTCGCTGGAGATGCCAGCAGCCATCAAAGCCTCGGGTCTCCAGAGCTGATTCCTTGCTGATTTTGTGCCTGTGTAGCCCTCAGAGCTGCACCAGTGGTAGCTTTTTTGTGGGCCAAGTCTCTTAGACGAGACAATAAGGAGCAGAGTGGGGTTAATGAGCGTCCTGCTGGCTCTCTGGCTTGGGATTGCGGGCAGGGTGTTTCATAAAAGCTTAATTAATGAAGCTTCAAACCCATTGTGAAAGATCTGGGCAAAGTAAGCAATGTGGCAGTGACATAAAGAACTTGGGGGAAGGCAGTGCTTTGATGAGGTCTAGCCCTGAGCCTGTACTTGAGCAGTGGGAGCTGTATCTCACTGTGTCTCCAGATCAGCAAGTCCACACTGCTGCTGCGTGGAGGAAAGACTATAAAGTGTGAAGGAGAGAAAACATGCACGAAGTCACTTGTGTATCTGCAGCTCTTGGCTTTGAAGTGAATCTGTTGTATTAGGGATAAAAAAACCCCAGGATATTGACTTATCTCTGAGATAATTTAGGAGGTGAAAAGTGAGTATGGAAAAATTCAGGGTGCTTAGGCATGTGTTCTGCTTCCTGCAGCATTTGGTCTGGAGGCATAGGATGGGTGCTGAGAACAGGGACTGATTTGGGGGCCTCCTGCTCCATAGTGCAAAGTCTGGGGTTATTTGTGAAGGATCCTACAGGTCCTCCTTGCTGGAGACACCGGTGATTTCTAGCTCAAGTAACTATGCCAAGCCTGCTGACTCTTCCATTCCTCTCAACAGGAATATTCGGGTCATCAGGAAGCGATTCAGAGATGTGTTTGAAAAGGGGTCTCTGGATGATGCCAAGAGGCTGTATATGTGAGTATGAGCCAAGGTGCGCGTTCCTGGCCGTGTGTTGGGCTGCAATTGGGAATTTTCAACCAAAGCTGGTGGTATGTTTTGAGTGTAAATAGTGACTTTCTGAGAAAGCAGCTCTCTTCCATGCCCCAGACTGCTGCTGCTTCCCTTTAGAGCTGAAATGATTTTGTTTTCACAGGGGTGAGATTTTTGCATATGCACATCTGTCCCTTACATCCAGAAACATAATTTCCCTTCTTCAAGCTGCAGCCTTCAGAGCACTGTGAGATCTTTACTTTCTCCACATACATCTGCTACTAAAAGTCCTGACTATTTCAGAGGCTTCTGCAAAGACATTTCCTGTTTACCATTCACGTGGTGCTCTGCCAGGCGGGAGTTGGGCTGGGCTATAGGTGCTAGAGGAAGAAGTATTACATGTCCATATGGTATCTGTTCTTTCTGAATGCGCTCACCATCTTGCCCGTTCCCTTTTGAGGCTGGGACACGCAGGTTGCAGACTCCAAGTGTTGCCAGTTGGTCAAAGTGTGACATCTGTCCTATTTCCAGGGTAAGGTGCTTGGAGCTGTACAAGCCTAAAGGAAGACATGGTTTTATGCCAGTGTTTTTTCTGGAGTTAGGTTAATCTTTCCACGGTTTGACCTTTGGTGCCTCTGCTGTGTTTAATTAACGAATACATTTGTCATTGTCAGACAGTTAAGGGGAAAGTGTGTCCACTGTACTTCCTCTAGAGCATCCCCTCCTCTTACTGATGAATGCCTTTATGATTGCACTGCTTGGCTACCAGCAGCTTCCATGCTGCTTTCCCTGACCACATGCATAATTTGTGTGGCCAGAGCTTGGGGACGTTGTTCTACGGGTATGCTGGCAGCCCTGCCCTGACAGGGTGTTTGGTGCCTGGGCAGGTTGTTGAGTTGATGTCTTGCCTTGAATTGCCACCAGAGAAGGACCCTGTTCCCTCCCAGCTTCAGGAATCTGTTGTGGTTTGGGCCTGGTTGGCAGCCAACCACAACGCAGCGGCTCTCTCTCCCTTCCCCTCCAGCAATGAGAAGGGACAGAGAGCCAGGCTTGGGGTTTGAGATAGGACTGGGATGGGGAAAAAAATCCCCCTTTATGATCACGAGCAAAAGGCAGACTAGTTAGGGGAAGAAAAAAAGAACATTTATTACAGACACTACCAACACATAACAGAGTAGGTCAGTGAGAAGCATTGCCACATCTTGAGAACACCTTCCCCCCACCCCTCCCTTCTTCCCGGGCTCAGCTCTGCTCCCGATATCTCTACCTCCTCCCCCAGTGGCACAGGGGCAGGGATTGGGGGGTGCAGGCAGCGCTGCCACTTCCTTTATCTTCGATGAGGGGAGTTTCTGGAACTTGTTCCCCCTGCTCCATCGTGGTCCCCCTCTCACAGGAGACAGTCCTCCACAAACTTTCTCCGACTTTAATTCCTCCCACGGGCCGCAGCGTTCCCCACACTGCTCCGTCATGGGTCACTAACTTCCTCCGACTGGATTCTCTCCCATGGCTGCAGCCCTTCCCGAGCTGCTCCGGCGTGGGACTCCCCCGCATGCTGCAATCCTCCCAGCACTGAATTACAGCAGCGGGGCTGCCTTTTCCCGTGAGACCCTGGCCTTCTTCGGGCACAACACCTTGACCATCCAGGCAGAAGCCACAGGCCATAAATCAATGTCTGCTCTACTGTGGATCTCCATGGGTGGCAGGGGGCGCCGCTCTGCCGTCTCACCACAGGATACAGGGGGGTCTCTGCTCTGGCACTTCCTCCCTCCTTTCTTCCTCTGTTCCTCCACTGACCTTGGTGTTCATGCAGCTGCAGCAACTCCTCCTCACAAGTCCGACTGCTCCTCACCACGACCCTTCTTAAATACGTTATTGCAGAGGCGCAGCTGATGGGTTCAATTTTCCAAACAGAAGTGGAGCTGACTGGGAGCTTCGAGAAGCTCCTCACAGGCGGCCGCCCCTATAGCCCCCTCCCCTGCCACCAAAAAGACTCCACCACTCACTCAACCCAGGACAGTCTCCCAGGCCTGGCTCCTAGTGGAAAAACCTATTCAAAAATTAGGTTCTTACCTCCGTGCTGGGCTAGGTGCCTGAATTATTGGGACTTTGGTTAGTCTGGGCAGAGACCAGGTATCAGCTCCCCATATCTTGGGACAGAGCAAGCCAGCTGAGGCTCAGTGGAGAGAAGCCAGGATTTGCAGTCCTCAGCTTTCTCTGGCAGAGCCAGCCAGGAGCAGAACAGCAGAAGAGAAGGGGCAAATGTTGTAACGCATCGCCTGCCTGACCCCATTGCAACCCCCTTGGTGCTGGGGCGTTTGGGCAGAGGCGGGCAGGGCCTGGCCTGGTTCTGTGAATGCTTCTGGTTTCTGTTGCAGGGATGGGCAGGAAGTAGCGGTGGTGTACTACAGAGAAGGCTACGTGCCAAAGAACTACGACCAGCAGGTCAGTACTGACTGCTCTGCTGCGAGAGGCCGCCCACGCTGTGGCCTTGCCTGGCGAGTCTGAAGTGCCTTGTGATCCCAGGGGCGTTTGTCCTGTCCTGGGTGGGGTTAGTCCTGTCCGGCGTGGCTGACAGCATTGGGAACCTGTGGCTGCAGTGCATGTGGGTGTCCCTGGTGCTCACGCAGTAAGAAAAAATGAGCGTCTGTCTTCTTTAAAAACCACTCAAGTGATGACCTCTTACTGCAGCACTGAATTGCTTCTGTACAATATGGGTTAACACAGATATTAGCACTTGCTTAAAGGGTTTAGACACGATCTAGAGATCACTCTCTGTCCTCTACTAGGACTGTTATGCTGCAGATAATAATAATACAGGCCAGATCTTGCTGTTGTCTGGAGGTGGCAGCACTGGACAAGCTGGGGAGGTGGTACAGGCAAAGGCAGTGGACTAACCTGGCTGTGCTGTTTCCAGATGTGGTGGAAAATCCATGTATGCATGTCTGCTTGTCTCTGGTGTGCTATTCCCACTCCTCATCCCAACCAGGCAGGGAGGAGGCAAATCATGGCAATAACTGAACAGAAAAGAGTGGAGAAAGCTTTTTTTTTTTTTCCTTGCTAACGGGATGCTTGTTCTCTTTCTGCCTTAGAACTGGGAGGCACGGTTGTTGCTGGAGAGATCAAGGGCAGTGAAGTGCCCTGACATTGCTACCCAGCTCGCAGGCACCAAGAAGGTCCAGCAGGAGCTGAGCCGGCCAGGGACGCTGGAGAGGTTGCTGCCTGGCCGTGACGAGGCTGTTGCTCGAATAAGAGCAACGTTTGCTGGACTCTATTCCCTGGACGTGGTGAGTGTGAGCAGGGCTGGAGCAGGAACGAGCACGCGGATGTGTGCTCGGCCTGCGCGATGTTTCTCTTTGGTTAAGAAGATGAGAGCTCTTTGTTGTGGTCCCTGGGGGACCCTGCTGATTGTGCTCAGAGGGGACTGCTGCTCCTCCCTGATGCTTTGCTGTTGCCATCCTTTCCTGCCAGGGTGAAGAGGGTGACCAGATAGCTGCTACGGCTATCGCTGACCCCGACCGGTTTGTGCTGAAGCCGCAGCGAGAAGGTGGAGGTACGAGCCGGGCCGGGCCCGTGGGGTGTTCCTTGCTGTTTGTGCTGTACCCAGGAGCAGCAGTAGCTCTGTGGTGGCTCCTGGTCCTGTGCTGAGGGATAAAATGTGGGGTGGCTTGTAGCTGCTTGTAGCCTTGGGGACTAGTCATGGCAGTAAGGCTCCTGAGGAGCTCCCTAGGCCCCAGAGCTGGGGTGTGGGGAGCCCAGGCAGCACGGGGGGAGGCAAAGGCTGGGGTTTTTGGGGCTGTTGGGGCCAAGGACTTCTACTGTGCTGGGAAGTGCTTGACTTGCTGGTTTTGTTGTCAGGGAACAACCTCTATGGTGAAGAGCTCAGGCAGGTTCTGGAGAAGCTCAGAGACAGCCCTGAGAGAACCTCCTACATCTTGATGGATAAGATCAAACCACAGCCAGCAATTAATTACTTGCTGAGGGCTCACAGTCCCTTACGAGCATCCGAGTGCATCTCAGAGCTCGGTATTTTTGGTGTCTATGTCAGGTGAGAAACGTGCTCATGTTGCGGGGTGGTTACCTGCTCCAGCCGGCACTCGGGCTGGGAGCGTTTCGCCTCTGTGCTGGCTGAGCGCGGCAGCAGGGCAGGTGCCTGGGGAGGTGGGGGTACAAGGGGATGACATTCAGTCTCTGCCCCTGTCAGCAGCTCTCTGAGCACTGCGTTCAGCCATTCGGATGCTGAACTGCTGCTCTACCTGCTGCCAAAAAAGTTGTTGAAAATTGGCAGAGCTGGTGCTGATGGTTACTGGTGTAACGGCCACGTGGAACTGGTGTGTCTCATCCCTGATCTCTAGGAGCACTTCTCAGGTTCTGGATGCAGCCACACGGTTTTGTGAAGCCCTGAGATGTCTGAAGGCTTAATGAGGTTGTGTTCGACCCTAAATAGCTGCTGCTTTTGTTTAAAACCTTCATAGGCCCATAGAAATGTTTCCATAGCTTATAAACTAAAATCCTTCTCGGAAAAATTTAGGAACAGATGTACTCTGGCAGCATTTAGACCTTGAAACTGCCCATGTGCGGAGCCATCGGACCAAACTGGCCCAGCTGAGAAAGGGCCCTGTTGCTGGCAGGCGCAGCTCTGTCTGCAGGGGTGTCTGCATTAGCCCTGGGGCTTTTACGGGCCAGTTACCTGCCCTGCGCCGTGGCAGGGAGGGCAAATCCCATTGTCCAAGATGAAATGCCATAAGTTTTCTGCTCGGCGGGTGCTCAGTTGCCCTTTTCTTTGCAGACAGGGCAAGGAGATGGTGATGAACAAGGCCGCCGGCCACCTCCTGCGGACGAAGGCGATTGAACACGCGGACGGGGGGGTAGCGGCTGGCGTGGCGGTGCTGGACACTCCTTACCTGGTGTGAGGAGGCGATGCCCCATCCCCCCCACCTTGCTCTGCTGCCCAAAGAGCTGGTCTGCCACAGGGCTGTTCTCCTTAGGGTGTGCTTACCAAGGTCTGACATGTTGGGGACTGAGGAGGGGCTGTGTGGACACAGCTGCTCCGACGTCCCACGTGCCGCTCCCAGCTTCTCCTCTGCCATTCCTCCTGCAGGAAGGACTCCCTTGCTCTGCCTGCTCAGGGGGCCCTGCCCGCTGTGTGTCCTGGCTGTCACCTCGCAGGGCTGCAGTGGCTGGGGTGGCCCCTGGGGGCGGGCTGGGGGGGGGGGGTGGTTAGCCTGCAGGCACGGGGTATGTACAGCAAAGCTAAGGGGTGAATGTGCCACAACAGGCGCTTGGGCTGTTCCCAGTTTTGTGCTCCTTGATGCTGCGTTATTTCTGGAGATACAGAAACCCAAAGCCTGGAGAATGGGAAGAGAAAGGTGGATGTGTAAGAGCCTTCATCTGTAGGATTTGTGGCCCAGGGCCTCAGTGCTTTCTAGGTTAAAGAGGGGAGCACAGCTCCACCTGCCCATGGCCCCTCCAGCCTTCCTTCAGCTGCTGCTGCCACCCTGATTTCTACTCTTCCCTGTGCCTGAGGATCCTCAGGGTTCCTGCACAAGGGACGGCTGCCCTGATGCAAGAGGCCCTTGGGCAAATGACTTTTGCTTTGCCTGAGTACTCATCCCAAACAGTGCCTCTGCTCCCCTCGCCTCCTGCAGCCTTGTCCAACAGCTCCCCACGGGTTGGCAGAAGAATCCCTTGCCAACGCTGGCAGATCCCAATGAGACGAGCTGGAGCCCTGTGTCCCAGACAGCGCCTTGAGAACCCCCCAACCCCTGAGGGCTTGTGCCAGTGCACACCCCACACCCCCCCCCTCCCCAGTCAGTCACACACGGCCTCCCCGGCGGCTCTGCTGCCACACATGCAGCCCCGGAGCCCTGACCTCAGTAATGCTCCAGCTGGGAGCTTTGGGGCGAGGGAGCAGAGGAACTCCAGGAGCTGCCAAGTGCTTCACTGGGACCAGCCCCAGCGGAGGGGGAGATGCGCGAGATGCGTCGTCCTCCAGGTTTCATGAACCAGTGGGAACAGCGCAGCAGCAGGACAGGGGAGTGTGGGCTCTTCTTCGTAAGCAATTTTGCCTCTTTCTCGCAGCCCTTTTTCTTCCTTGGCTGAGCAGTTCAAGGGGAAACATGAAAAACGCACCTTTCTGGCAGTGCCTTGGTGAAGCGCCCAGGCAGTCTCAGCTCTGCCCTTTCTGTGACACGAGAGAAGCGGTGTAAAGCCGGTGCTCCTGGAGGCTGCCCGTGCTGAGGGAGGGCCGTGCCCTGCTGGGTGCGTTGCTGCTGGCCCTGTGCTTCACTCACCAGCCTTTCACCTTGGAAAGAGTTCAGTTCTGTAAGTGTGACTGATTCTGTGATTCCTGGGTGGTGGTTTGATTAACCCGAGCTGGAAAATAAAACTTATGTGCAATCTGACCACTGGTCTTGGGCTGGTTTTGGCAGAGATGGGAGGCGAAGGGGCGGTGTTGGCCTCCTCCCCGGCCTGGCTCCGGGGCAGCCCCTTTCATCTACCTTCACAGCAGCAACAGCTAAAGCCACCCCACGTCTTTCTGCTCTGGTTGCTGGGAGGCTGCACAGCCCCGTGTTGGGGATGTGTCCTGGCTCCGCAGCGCCAGCCTGGCCCAACCAGGGGAGGGAGAGCTGCTGGGGTGAGGGGTGCCAGGACAGACACCGGAGCGTGGGGACAGTTCGGGGTAAAGCCTGAGCTCAAAGTGACACTGGGGCCCAGAGAAGGGGGAGGCAGAGGCTGGTGGTATTGTACAGCCCTGAGCTGCTGGGGCTGATGATGCTTCCATGAGCCTCAGTGGACTGATGCTTGATAGAGACCAGGGAGAAACCGAGGCACAGGCTCCAGCCCTGGAATCAGAGCTTCTGCCCTGGCCTCAGTGCCGTGGGGCAGCACAGACCGAGCCACAGCCTGTAAATCCCAGTCCATGAAAAAGCATCACACCAGCAGTAACCTACCCCAGTGATGGCACAGCAACCCCTGAGCACCCCCATCTCCCCCAGACTCAATGGCAGACAAGCACCTATAACCCCTGCACACACTCTATGCCTATCTCCATTTTATTTCCTTGAATTTTATTTCATTTTGCATAAAATTCTAGCTGTTTCCAGCCAAAATTACATAGCAAAGAGTAACAGAGGAGGAGAGATGATGCAGGAATCGTCAAGGAGGTGGCACAATCCGGTGGTACGGAGCCAGGGGGGCACGTGGGATACCGGCAGGTGCTGAGGTTAGAGATCACAGGGAGATGCTGTGCCAGTGAGAGCAGCAGGTAAGAAGTGAGACTTGGGACTTGGACAACAGCCCCCCAGAGCACCCCCCAACACCCACCCTGAGCAACCAGCCTCAGAGGCAGCTGCCTCAACCTGCCCAGCCCAGGCGGGAAAGCCTGGATGTTGGCACTCACCAAAACAGCTCTCGCAGTCGGTTTTAAAGCCCATTTCTCCTTTGGTTTAAGTGCAAAATCAAACAGTTCACATGCAATTTTCATACAGACATTACAAAGGAGGCAACTCTCCCAGCTCAACCCAGCACTGGAGTTAAATGTAATTTATCTGAAGAATGGCTTTGGCAATACCCTTGTGATGTTCAGGCTCTTGGGCTAGAGGTTTGGGGTTGTTTTTTTTTTCCTCTCATCATCATAAAGCTATGTGAGATTTAAGCAAAAGCTAACTTTGAACATCTTCCACCACTGTTTTCCTGATGAGAAAACACCATCTAGGACCAACACAGCCCTGCCTGCCTTCATTTCTTTGCTGTAGCAATGGTCCTGGTGCACTGTAACCCAGCACGTGGTTCGCCTGCGCTGGGAAAGGTGCCCCTGCGTGGTTTTGTTTCCCCTCCCTCCTTTGGTATCGACAGTGCCCGCTCCTACCCCAGGACACGAAAGGAGCATCCAGCCGCGCAGCCTCCGAGTTCTGCCGTGGGCTGGAGGCAGCAGAGCGGGTGGGAGCGGCGCTCTGACCATCCTGGCTCCCTCTCGTGTCCGTGGCCAGGGAAGGACTCGGGACTGGGGCACACACGCCAGCTGGCCCCATGCAGCTAGGAAGGAGCTGATCTTGGTACCAAATTTCTCTAAACCCCCCCGTGTTTAAAGCACAGAGCTCCCTTGAGCCTTGCCCCGTTCCTCTTTCAGGCTCGGGGACCTCTGCTAACAACAGGCTTGGACGGCGGATACGAGACAAACTCAGCTAAACAGCGATGATGCGAGAGTGTTTTTCAGCTCTCCCGCAGCTTGCAGTGCTCCACCTGAAGAAAGCTTAGCTGGCGTGTGGGCAGGGGCAGGTGCACCTCCCTTCCCCCCCTGCACTGAGTAACTCCAGCACCACTTCTCCTCCAACCCTCGCAGTTCCTCCCCACTGTGCGCAAGATGCCAGGGCCCCTCAATTACATAAAGTTAATTAACACCCCCCCCAACCCCCCCCCGCCCCCAAAATAAAATTAAAAATCAAGAACGAGGTGCTGAAAAGAGAGGAGGAGTCCCTCTGTGCACGAGGCTGAACCTCAGGTGTACAATACCCTTCTGGAACACGATGCGCACGCTCCTCCCAGGCATGGGCACAGGGGAGAGGCGCGGCCCCTCCAGAGCCAGCCTTCCCCTCGTTCATGTTCAGAACATTTGTACATTCAATTCAACAGGCGAAGGTTTCCTGCCCAGGGCAAACAGCGGTTATTCAAGGGACCTGCTCATCAGGACAGTGCTGCTGCTACAGTTCTGCTCAGCAGGGACAGGCCACGCAGCTACTGTTTTGTGTCACATCTGCTGCTGAAAAGATGTTTTATGATGCCCGGGTTTGCCAAGGTGGAGATGTCCCCAAGATCTTGGTCATTTTTTGCAATCTTCCTTAATATCCGTCTGGTAATCTTTCCTGTAAGGACAGCCGGGAAAGGGAAAGCAGGAGTCAGGATCTCTTCAGCATCCTTAGCAGGAGTGGGGAGTGCCCAGACCTGCAGCATCCTGCTTGCCCTGAGGTTGCCCTCCCCTAAATTTGAGCGGCCCTGGACAAGCAATTTAGGGCTGATTTCCTTCCACTGGCAAGAACTGCTCAGTCCTCCCCAGCACTGTCACTGGGCCCCTTACCTGAGCGGGTTTTGGGCAGGCTAGGGGCATACTGGATGTAATCAGGCGTTGCTATCGGTCCGATCTTTTCTCTAACTGAAAGAAAAAAAAAAAAAAAAAGAAGATAATTCCATTGTAGGTACTAGGAGATACCACACACATCCTTTTCAGGCAGGGTGACCAAGTTAAGACATGCAGAACCTGGCTGTGGGGGAAGCTGGTAGGGCAGGGCTCAGAGCTGCTGCACCTGAGCCTCCGGGCTGTGCAAGGGGGCAGCGAGACCTGCAACGCCAACGGGTCTGTAAGCACATCTTTCCAAAGGCAAGAGCGCTCATTTTTTCATTCTCTCCATCTCCAAGAGACCTCTATAATGGCTACACCAATTACTGTTGCCATTTTGATAGAGCAAGGACTGATTTGCTGTTGGGTCCCTACAGAGAAGAAACTGCCACGGGTCCATCTTGTGTATGAAATGCTGCCACCTGTTGTGGCCATGAAACCCCCGCCTTGAGACCAGAGCACAAACATGCAGGACACTGCCCCAAAGCAACCAAAAGATGCTCACAGCAAGCTGCCCCCTGCCAGGGAGAGCCCTGGGAGCCGTGTCCCCAGCGCAGAGCACTGCCTGCCAGGTACCCCGCTCCTTTGCAGGGCTGCCAGCTCCCAAGGGGTAGAGCTGGCATCACAAGAGCAGCCGAAGGCTGGGAGAACTAATTTTAGTCTTCACCAGCCGTGCTATCTAATCAGAGGGGGCACCTTGTCGCAGTTGTCCACGCTGCATTCCCCAGACTACGCGCGCCCTCGTTCAAGCACCCAAGCCCTTAACCCCTCCATCACCTGCCCAGCACTCTCCTCCCTCTCCCTGCCACGTAACCTCCCCCAAAGATTTGCCTGTTGTTACCTTGCTTTTTCAGCTCGTCCGTCAGGTTCTTGGTGAACTCATGGCCATCTCTCAGGGTCACGAAGCAGTAGAGGCACTCGCCTTTCAGGGGGTGTGGGTGGCTGACCACCGCGGCCTCCGAGATGGCAGCGTGCTCCAGCAAGGCTGACTCCACCTCCGCAGTGCTCAGCAAGTGGCCTGGAAGCAAGGACAGGCCATGCTTTACAGACCCTGCAACCTCCCAGCAGCTGGGAGGGGGGGGGATGAAGAGGTCTGCAGGTGTAAAAGGCCCTAAAAGGTTTGAGCACGTTGATTTCATTTGCTTGAGAAAAGCCAATGGTTGGAGAGAGAAACTCCTTTCAGCAGCGCAGGGGCTGGGCTGCCCCGTATCACTCCCCTGGCTGTTCTCACTCCCACCTTTCGGCTTCTTTCTTTTACAGATCATGAGCTGTTCACAGCCATGGGATTAGACAAAGCACTGGCTGAGGAGGAGCTGGATTTGGTAAGAGGAGACCTGCCCACACGGTCAGCTGGAAGGTGCAGAGGAGGAAGAGGCTGGATCTGCAGAGCCCAGGAACCAGCTCTGCCATGCAGTGCTCCAGCTCATGGCTGTGGGGAGATGAAACCATGTTCCACAGCTCGGGGCAGGGGCACAACTCCCTCCTGTACAGCCCTGCCCCTGTACCTGCGCTCTGACAGCCCACCCTGGGACTGCCACCACAGACAACCACGGGAAGGTGGTCAACTCCCAGAATGAAAGGATCTAGTTTGATCCGGGCACAAGCAGAGCAGCATCTCACAGCCAGCAGTAAGTACCTGCAGGCTACAGCCTCCAGGAAAGGAGGGAGAGAGGGAGCTATTAAATGCAGCATATGGGAAGTGATGGGCTGAGAAGCAGCTGAGTCTCAAAGACTCTGTCAACAGAGGTGGGAGAATCTCCACCTCTGCAGACACAGCTCCCAGCACCCCGATCCAGCTTCGAGGTTAGCCCTGCATGGAGCATCAGGTTGGATCAGGGACCACACGGTCCCACCCAACCTCTGTGATTCCCTGTGGCCCTAAATCCTGCAGCACAGAGGCATCTCGGCAGGTTAAGGATCTCCTCTAAGAGGTTACAGAAGGTTCCTTCCCTCCAGTGCATTGTCTCTAGAGGAAATGATGCAGCAAGTTACCAAGTCACAGACTCTGTCTTGGAAATAACCCTAACCCAACAATTAGATCCACTTGGAGGACAGGCTGCTGGGCAGAGTCACGGACGCAGAACCATCCCCCATAAAGCAAGGTGGCTTTTTTAACTACTGCCAAACGGATGCAGAAGTGTCCCCTACAAAGCAAGGTGTCTCTCTTAACTAGCATCAGGAAGCACATTGGTCTGCACTGAAGACAAAAGTTGTTCTTACCAGAAACATTCAACATGTCATCAATTCGCCCTGTGATCCAGTAATAACCATCTTTATCTCTCCTGCAACCTAAAAATAGCCAGAAATGACAGCGTGAGGAAGCAGTGCCAGCTCTCAGAGCTCCTGATAAAGGATTCTGAGGCCAGGACACGGCAAGATTTAACGTGCTGTCCCCAGGCCTCCGCAGCCACGCGCTCCCCGGACAGCCTTACCATCGCCTGTCACGTAGTACCCGGGGAACTTCTTGAAGTACGTGGTTTCAAACTGCTGGTGGTTTCCATACAGCGTGCGCATTATCCCTGGCCAGGGCTGCTTAAATACCTGACGGTGAAAAATGCAGACCTGAGTCAGTGAGAGTAAAAACCAGTAACTCGGGCCTTGTACCTGGGCGACAGAGACGCACGCAGTCTCTGCGCGCAGTGACAGATGCCAGAGGCAGCCATGAGTGACGGCACTCGCTGCCCAGTGCTCATCTACCAGGAAAGTCTTGCCAGGCTCAGCATGGGGGAAGGAGCTCGGCTGAAGTTGTTCCCGTCCTGCCTTGCCCACGTGTGCAACTGCACTTGGTCGAGAGGTTTGTTTACAGCATAAAGCTCCCAGCGAGTTACGGCAGTGAAGGGGGCCCTTGGGTGGACCCAGAGTAAGGGGAGACGTGTGTATGGTACCGGGAAGGTCCTGGAGCTCACGGGGAACAGGCAAAGGGAGGGTGGGGAAGATCAGCTCTTCTTTACCAGGTAGCCTTCTGCTTCTCCTTCCAGCTCTTCCCCCGACTCGTTCAAGATGGCAGGAACCACACCGAAGAAGGGGAACGTCTGCCATGGCGACCAGAGAGCAAGGAGACACGGAGGTGAGCCCACACATTAACACCCCATGAACCAGAGGGAGCGGGAGGCAGAGCAAGGGCAGCTCTGGAGAGGCTGTGGCACACGGGGCCTGTGAGTGGAGCTGCACAGGGCCAGGCCTGGGATTTTGGGTGGTGGCCACCTCCCCACATGCACCACCGTCCCATGACCACCGCGGCAGGCTGGTAACCACCAGGCCATGGTGCAGACAGCGGCTGCCACTGCCACAGTGCCTCCCCACGGAGCCCTCCCTGCCCCTGGGGAGGAGAACAGAAGCACTCACAGCAGAGCCTGGCTTCATGGGGGTGGCGGCAGGAAGGGGTGTCAGCATGTGGCCACCCTGCGAAGAGAGGCAAAACCAAGTGAGGCTGGCATGGCCCAAACTGTCCCACAGCTGTTTGCATCAGCTCTGGTCACATCCCATCCCAGTGAGACGCAGGCTGCTCAGGGCAGTTGTGGGGAGGGGGCCTTGGGAAGGATACGGCAGGGGAGCCTGCGTTTGGGCAGGAAGCTTTGGAACTGCTGGGGGAGAGAAAGAGGGTGAGGAGAGCAGGGTCCAGAGCAGACCTCAGCAGGGACCCTTTGGAGAGGAAAGCCTCCCCTTGGAGCCTGTTTGAGGTCCAGGAAAGAAAGAGGAGAAGGGGAACTAACACTTGCAAGCCACAGCAGAGGCTCCTGGGCAAGCAAAACTAGTCCACACAGAACCAAAGAAACCCTATGGCAAAACTGCAAAGACACCCCCTGCGGGGAGCACAAGGGGAAGAGAGGTCCCAGGGACACCCAGGCAAGGACTCACCGTCTCCGTCTGCCAGAATGTGTCCACAATGGGACACCTCTCCTCTCCGACCACGCGGTAGTACCACAGCCAGGCTTCAGGGTTGATGGGCTCGCCAACGCTCCCCAGCACCTTCAGAGACTTCCTGCTGTGCCTGCAGAGAGGAGGGGGCTGGCAGGGCCTCAGCAGGCCATGCAGAGCAGCAGCTGTGAGCCTGCTGCACCGCGGAGCCTGCAAGAACCTCTGGGCTACCCAAAATGGACTTGGGGCTCTCAGGCATGGTTCAGACCCTTCTCAGCCCTCTTCCAGGGGAAAAGAAAGGAGACTTCAGTGATTTTGGTGTCTCTCGCTCCAAGTCCCCACTTGGCTCTGCTCCTTCCCTTCCTTGGCCCAAGGAGCAGCACGTGGAAGGGCTCTCTGCCCAGCAGAGCTTTGGGTCAGGAGCAGGGAGAACTTGCAATCTCTGAGCTTAGATGCAGCTTACAGTGGAAGAAGGGGACCTGCTCAGAAGTGCCATAATGAAGTTAAGTGTTGGGAATGCAGAAACATGGCCTGCACATTACTGTGTAGAAGGCAGAAGATCCTGGGGAAGCTGCTGCTCGGAGAGGAAGCTGAGGCCCCTGGTCCCCCATCAGGAACCAGGGCCAGGGATCCCCACGCCACTGGGGACTGGCACTCACTTTTTGACAGGCTCATCCCCGTGCTTCATCAGCAGCCGGATGGCTGTGGGTGCTGTGTAGAACTTGGTCACCTTGTACTTGTCAATGACGCTCCACATTCGCCCAACGTCCGGGTAGGTGGGGACACCTTCAAACTGAGCAGGAGACAGGGCAGTGACACAGCCGTTCCTTACCGCTACTGACCTGCAGCACCTTCCCAAGCAGAAGGAGCTGAGAGCGACAGGGAACAGCAGGTGGACCTTAGCAGGTCCTTATAGGAACGGCAGGGACACCACGCAGTGAAACCAGCCCAGTCCAGGGAGCTCTCTTCCTGCTTCCTTGGGATGCATTTGGCATCACCCCACCCCAGTGTCCTAGCAAATGTCCCCTGCAACTCCCTGGCAGCACAGGCACTTGAGTGGCTGCCACAGTGACAGTCCCACCAGCCCAAATGACCCTGCCCACATGGTTAAGGGTGAGAGGTCCAAACACAGTGACAGAACCGCAACCAAAAGTACCAAGAACCCCAGCAAGGACTCCCCCAACATGACAGCGAATTTGCTGTTTGCATTTCCCTAGGGAGTCTTGGGCCCAGGCCTCTGGCTCCTTGATCTGTACACAAGTCACAGCTGTATGCTGCCAAGGGAGAGACAGAGAGACAGGCGCAGGAGTTAAATGAAGGTTGTCAAATCAGCATCAGCAGTGAAAACATCACGCCCTGCTCCTGATCCAGCTTTCATCCTACCCTGCAGCAGCCCTGGCTACCCGGGTACACAAGACTTGTACTTCTAAGAGAAAGAAACAGGGGAGCATTTGAAAAATTAACTGCCCAAAAGCCACACACAGACTAGCCCCTATGTCTGCCACCGAGCAGTCCCCCATGCCCTCCCCAGGGACTGCCACCCTCCCCTGCAGAGCCCAGGGCACTGCATGCAAGTGAGAAACACACTTGCCACAGAGCAATGCAGGGATGCAACTCAGCACCATGACCTCCCCTGTCTTGGAGTAAAAGCACCCAGCTGCCACCCAACACTTACGAGTACACTAGTTGCCCCGTTTGCCAAGGGTCCATAAGTGAGGTAGGAATGGCCTGTTATCCATCCAATGTCAGCTGTGCACCAGTAGACATCCTCAGGTTGGTAATCAAACACGTATTTAAATGAGGTGGCAGCAAAAACCATGTATCCACCCACTGTGTGCAGCACACCCTACGAGGAGAAGGCGTGAAACTGTCAGGGCAAGCTCCCACCAGGGCCCTCACCCTCCCAGGCCAGGCTGAGCATCACCAGTGCATTCAGCTCGAGCAGCAGCTGAGCAGGAAGGAGCAGCACAGCCCCTTTCCCAAGACCTCTGTGGCTCCTCTTCTTCCTGGGGCCTCCCAACACGACCCTTACCAGTTGCCACGGCTGAGGTGTTGCTGTGGTTCAGCCTGGCCCTGCGGGCAGTGAGCTGGGAAGCATACCTTGGGTTTCCCAGTTGAGCCGCTTGTGTAGAGGATGAAAAGTTCGTCCTCCGCGTCGCACCACTCGGGCTCACACTCCGTGCTGGCACTGCTCATCAGCTCGTGCCACCACATGTCCATGGCTGGGTTCCAGGGGGTCTGAGAAAAGTAGATTAGACACAGGCCTGTCCAAAAGCAAGAGAGGGGCAGACAAGGGGTGCAGCCCCAACCTCACCCCCCACCGCCATGGACCATCAAGGCAGATGTTCACAGCACAGCTTCTGACCCAGAGCTGTTTGCTGCAAACCATGCACCTGAGCTGCAGCTCTCACTCCAGAAGCTCCTTTTCTCAGCCCATAGCCACGAGGGAAACCTTTAAACACAGTCTGGCTGCAAGACCCAAAAGCAGATTGTCCAAACCACCGGTAACACCGATAAATCTCTCTCGGGAGCAGCAGCAGCCAGGAGAGGGCCTGCAGGAGCAGTCGCTCTGCGCTCTCACAGCAAAGAGGCTCCTCCTGGGCTGCCCCGAGCTGCAGTGGAGCAGCAAAGCAGCAATCCTGGCGTGGCACAGCCACACACCCACCCGTCCCATGCACCTTGTGGGGACCCCTACGGCAACATGGCCCGAGACAAACAAGAACATGTTGGCCTCGCGCTGCTTGGGCCTGCAGACCCCTGCAAAAATCTGTCAGCTGGATTTTAAGGTAATTACCCTGATAAGAAGTGACTGCTCTAACGCGGAGCCACCCAGCCCTGGCTGCCCGAAGGAGCTGCTTGAGGACGCCAGAGCTGCAGCAGAGCCACCAACGCTTGTGGCTGATGGGCAGAGGTTGCCCCGAGACCCGTGCTGGCTGGCTACCTCCCCGGGGTGGCACAGTTCAGTGCAAGACCTACCGCCACCTGACCTCCTCGCCTTTCCTCAGAGGAGCCTGGGGGCAGCTGAGCGGGTGACACTCCCCAGCCTCAGCCCAGACCTCCACTTCCCGCACCTCTGCGAGCCTTGCAGCTCCCAGCTGGGACACGTCTCCTCCTTGCCGAGCTAGAGCCCATCGCGCAGGCACAGCTGGGGTGCCACACGGTCAACACGGGGACTGTGCAGCCCTAAAGATGTTCACGTGCCCTTTGGAGGCACTGGGACCCCACGGCCCAGCATGCAGCTCCTGCACGTGTGGTACAGGGGACACCAGCTGCTTGACAGCCTGGCACGACCAAGCCCACTCGGAAAGCTCTCAGGGATCCCCAGGGCTCCTGGCTTTACCTGGGGAAGCAGTTTCTACAAGTCTGTCCCACCACCAAGCTCCCAGCAAGGCACCAGGTCACGCAAGCCCAAGGTAGGCTCACCACCAGCTCATCCACCAGTTCCTTTCATGCATCCCTCCTTCAAGGATCCCTCCGTTTTAACACACAACTTCCACTGCCCCACGGAGGAGGTCAGACCCACGGCACGGCACGCAGCCCCCCGAGGGCAGGCCTGCCTCTGCCTGCCTGCCTGCTCAGCGGGTCCGGAGGCTACAGATCCACGGACGGGGCAGGCAGAGAGCGCACGTTGGGTCTGGAGCTCCAGGTTTTGCTGCCTGCGACACGCTGTCAGAGCCAGGCAGCTGCGGGCGATCCCTGCCAGCCCCACTGCAAAGGGAAGCGCGCTGCGAGAGCTGCTTGACAAGGCAGAGAGATGAACAGTCATCCCAACGCTGACGGCGCATCCCAGCGCTTCTGCATTTTCCCCCCGTCAGCACGCCAACACGCGCTCGGGGCGGGGGGGTTTATGGATGCAGATTTGCTTCCGGCAGCAAAGTCGGTGGCACTGTATTCACACCGAAACCATGGGGAGCTCTGGCCAAGCGGCGAGTAGTATCTACCCCTAACATGCAACTGCTGGTAACCCGGTTAGGAAGGCATGTGTGGCCGTGCAGAGTCAGAGCGGTTAGGAAGGTGGAGCACCGGAGGGGGAAGCGGAGGGGATGTGTCACGAGGAAGACAGTGCTGTGTGTAAATACCTTGGGATGGAGTCTCTGTGAGCTCTCAGTCTTTTTTTCCTGTTAAAAATCCACAAAGAGGGTGTGAAAGTCGAGAAGCAGAGGAGATCTACACCAGGCTTTGCAGTCAGGGAGCTGGAAGCCCACAGGCCCGCGTGCTGGGAAACCATCCCAGCCGGCTGGAGAGTGCTCAGATCCGGGGCCAGGCCAGGAGGTGCCCTCTGCCCGTTTCCATCACCCTCCCTGGGTACCTGCCACCTCAGCAGTGGGTCACAGAGGCCACCCCCTGCACACGGCCAGCTGGTACAGCAGCTCAGAGCTGGCATCCAGCCCACGGACCATCCGACAGCGTCACACAAGCCAACGGCATGGTGAAAATGCGCTCACAAGGGAAAGCAATCTTTAATAAAGTGCCTGAACAAGTGGAGCAGCAAAAGTCAAGGGGTAAAAGACCCCTCTCCAGCCTCCTCCTGGGACATTCTGCGCAATAACCTCACCTCACCAATGGTGACCAGCGCAGGGACAGGCTTCTCTGCAACCACCCAACCAGGGAAACCTCGCATGGGAAAGCTGGTCTGCTCCAGTTTTCCCACCATTTTGCAGCTCCCCTGCCCTCGCCAAGAAAAGGGGCAGAAGAGGCCAATGTAACACAGCCAGGCTGGTAAATACTGAGCAACACCTCAACAAAATTAACACAGCTGAACGAGGAAAATTAACTCATACAAATCTGCTGGGCTTCTTGTTCCAGGGATACGCCCAGACCATCCCTTCTGAAAGCAGAGCCCAAAGCTCAAATGCACTCCCCAAATACAACCTCTTTCTGAGCGAGCAGCAGCCTGGGGATAACCCAGTGCAAATAATCACCAAACACACAGGGACAGAAGGCACCATTGCAGGACACGGAGCTGCTAGGTAGTTGAAAGCAACCTGCCTTCCAAGCGGATGAAGGCAGCAGGCAGCTGCTGGGCACAGGACTGCACACCAGCCTCGGGAGCCCAGCAGGCAGCCACGGCTCCACAACACCTTCTCCTCCTCCTTCCACTCCTGTCTCGTCACATGCCTCTGTCCCACACTCTTTCATCTGGTTTCAGTTGCAAGGGAAAGCCCCAGCCCTGACAGCTGACGCTGTTACTGTGCCAGCTACAGACACTGCACTATTCTCAGTGCATGATTGTTGTCAGGTTGGGGGGCTGTGCTGAACGCCCACCACGAGCACAAATCTCCTGGTTTTCCTCTCCTGTTTCCACTGTCACAGCTACACTGCAGGGCAGCATTGATCTTTGCACAAAAAGGGAGATAGGTACAGGATTAGGAAGGAGAAGTCCTTCACTGGGCAGAGGAAAACAGGCATCTCGTCCTTGTCCTAATAACTTTGGAAGATGTACCCCACTGTGCTCCCAGGGGTCCTGTGGGCTGGCAGCTGGTGATGGTGTTAAAGGAAGCAGCAGGGAGAGGATCTCAGTAAGGCAAGGGAACCATTTTTCAGACCACTCGCAATGCAACAACAGCAAGGAGGGGGGAAAACAGGAACAGGAGTCAGAACAGGAGCATCCAGGGAAACACCGCAGTGGTTTTTCACCGATTTGCTGGGCTCATTTATTGCCCAAAGCAATAAAATCCCCCCTCTCATCCCCCAGAAGCATACCTGTACATCCTGGCAGAGCCTTTTGAGAGGGGGAGACTTGCTGCACGTCCCGTCCACCGCAATCTCTTCTCTCCCCAGGTGCTTCACCACGATGCACTTTTTCAAAGGGGAGCCCCTGGAAAAGGCAGGAGCTGTCAGATCAGGCTGTTGGGGCAGGGGCTATGCCTGCCCTTCGTGGGCTTTACCCACAGCACTGGAGGCAGAGCAGGGGCCCTGAGCTGCTTCTGGTGAGCGAGAGCGTTTGCTGCTGTGCAAACTCCAGGCACACCATGAACTGCCAAGAGCCACCAGCCACAGGAACGGAGCTTGGAGAGTAAGAAAGGTCTGTGCACAGCTTACTGGGGATTTATGAGGCGCGATTCCTACGGAGGAAGCAGGGATCCCACAAGCATCTCTCCCAGGTCACTGGCTGGGGAGATTCCTTATAAATCCCAAATTTGCCCACCTGTGACCTTCCACAGCACCCAGGAGATATTAGGTGGCTGCTCCCATCCCTAGGAGTGACCGACTGATTCTGAAGAGGGAAAGGCTTCCAAAGCCAGATTATACATCAAGGAAAAGAGTGGGCATTTGTCCCCTCCTGAGGGTCAACATACCCCACCTATAATGCAAACAAAATCATCTTCTCTCCCTTCAGCCCTGTCAGGGTACCAACACACTGTCTCCATCGGCAAATTCCCAACTTCAGGACCACTTCTGTCCTCCCAGGTACCTACTTTTACAGACATATAAACTTAGGTTTTCACATTTTAGAGTTCTAAATGCTTTTAAAGAGTTTGAATTTCTAACATACAGACTATCTGCCCTAAATTTTCATGTTTGATCTAACTTGCAAGACCACATTCAGTCTCATACAAGCTGTGCAGACACTCTGTCTAAGCTTGGCAAAGTCATTTCACCATGATTATTTCCCCTTCTGTAAAATCTGGTGATAGATCTGTGTATCTCTTTATGGTTTACAGTATCTCAGTGAAGAGGCTTAAAAAAATAAAGCAGCTTCACCATATAGTTGTGCACAGTCAGGCCCTGATCCTGTGCACATATTGGTGCATGTCAGCTGGAGTGCCTGTTCCTGTTTACACAGCCATTTCCCAAACTTGAATCGTTTCTGTTTTATCTCATTCTTGTTGAATTAGTGGATTTGGAGCAAGACTTAAGCCTCATCTTGATGTACCCCATGGTACTGTGTCTAGCTGTTCACAACTCGTCTGGCAGTGCATTATTCCCTCCCACTCCAAGAGCTGCTGCTGTAGAACTGAGAGATCTGCCATGGGCCGTAACGGTGGTGGGTCAGCCTGTCTCCAGCAAATCCACCCATCCAGTACGTGAGCCTTCAGGTCAGAATGGACAAGGGGAAGATTAAAAGAAAATATTTCTAAGACAAGGAAGTCGAAGCATGTATCTACTTCTGAAAGGCTCATGAATGTCATGCAGCTCGTGTCTGACCTGCTGCAGAGTCTGCCCACCTACGAAAACTTCCATTTCCATTTGTGCAGGAGCAGATTCCGGCAGCAATTCCCTTCTTACAAGGGACTCCAAACTTACTTGTCTTTACATTTCTGGAGGGCTTCATCTGCAATCTGCTTCAAGTTGATCAGCTTGTCCCCTCGATAAAAGGCATCTGCAAAATGGTAAGAAAAACATTAGAGGGGCTTCAGAGCCAAAGCAGCCAGGGGACAGCTGGAAGCAACAAGCAGTTTTGGGAGTGCAGAGCTCATGCACTGGAGTGAGGCAAAGCAGACAGGCAGCTGATGGGAAAGTTTTCCTAATACACCCTTTTAGCCTAGAGAAACGGATGCCAAGAGAAATGGTGAAATTCCTTCCTTGGGAGAGGTTCCAATTTGATCCAACAAGTCTCTGGGGAATATTCCGTGGGAAATAATTCAATGTGGCCAGAACACAGATTGCAGTTTAGTGGGTCCTTTCCACGCCATGGACCTATTAGTAAAACCACTGTTTTATGCAGTAATGCAAAAAAACAGTTGGGGAAATACAGTGGGCTTACATGCCAACGCTACCACTTCCTTGATCCTTTGCTTAACAAGGCTGAGAGTTGCAGCAGAAATATTCTGGAAATTGGGAAGGGATGGAATTCTCATATTAGGACTGCCTCATAAATGATACATGTTGCAAACATCTGGCTGATTTTGAAGAGGAACATGGATAAGAAGTGTTTGAAAACATGTTATTAGCAGCTGGTGACATCATGCTTTACAGGACAAAGTGGGCAGGCTGCTTAGATGCTTCACTGTACATTCAGAGTGGAAAACAGTACTCAAAGCACAGCTACCAGCAGTGCATCCGCCTTGCGGCAGCTCAGCCAAAGCACTGCCCCTTCCTCTTCCATTTCCAAGTGCATCTGGCTTTTAAAATAAAGACCTATCAGACGGGCCACAGTAACAGCTCAGGGGCGCAGATGAATGTTTTACCTGACGTGATGAGGAGAGAACAACCACAGTCAAGAATCCGCTCACAAAGAGAGTCTGCCGAGAAACCTGCAAACTGACAGATCACACAACCAGGTCAGCAAGAACACAAAAAACCCCCAACCCAAAAACCCCAATGGCAGCCGTGCAGTTCACCCACAGTAAACAACACCACCAGGCACTGATAGAGAGAGTAAAGGAGCTTATTCCATACTTAATGCAGAGGAATATGAAACAGCAGCACCTTAATTTAGTTTCCATCCATCTCACAGTCAGCACCCATCTTTCCAGCTCCTCTCCCGAAAACAAGAGCTGTTCCCCCTACGGAGCTTAGCACCAAGAGCAACACAAAGGGCTTGTTCCTACCACAATGGAGTGCAGAGCTCCGATCCTGGCGCAGGCGAGCATGGCTACAACCAGCTCCAGGATCATCGGCAAGTAGATGGAAATTCGGTCTCCTTTCTTCACACCTGTGAAGGGAAAATGAACACGGTGTTTGTCAAAATGAACACGTCACATGTAAAAAGAACAGGATATAGAAAGAAACTAATGATTTTAAATCAACATTTATATGTATGCAGTAAAGCTTCAGCTGGAGTTAGAGCTGAACCAGCCTTGGATTTTGCCTTTCAAGCCCAATGGCTCTTGTAAGGTGACTGCAACGAACACTCCAATGCTTTCACTGGACACAGCCCTTGAAGGAGGCACAAATGTAACCAGAGTACACTGCTTACTGGAAAATCCCAGAGCAGGAAGTTTTGAACACAGATTTCTTCCTTGTACAGCTGACATGACCAGCATTGATTAGTTTTCACAGACTCAGAGATGAATCTCCAAAAGTGTGCTGCAGAACAATCTGCATCCACCCTGCTTTACAACTATGGAAGCTGAGAGACGAATGAAGCATTTTGCACAGAATTACTCAACAGACTGGCAACCACACAAAAAGATTAACCCAGTCCCCAAAACCCTGCTTTCCCAGTATCCAGTGCTCCTATTGCTTCAGCCACATACCTTGGCTGCGGAGGACGTTGGCGAACTGACAGACTTTGTGCAGCAACTCACTGTATGTGATTTTCGCAGAATCCCCAGGTTCATTCCCTTCCCTGGAAAAGCAAGGTAATACTTGTTATTGTATAAGCATTACAAGGTAAGAGTGACATTGCAAATTCAGAGGCACTTACTGCTTTGGACAACATGTATGCCCTCACCTGCCCTTTCTAGCACAGAGTAACCAAACCCCCAGAAATCCAATCCTGGACTAAAGTTCTCCAATAGTAGGAAAATTTAGTCCAAAGTCCCCATCCATGTGTCGATCACTACACATGAAAGCAACTGAATGCATGCAGTGGAAACACATGGTACTTTCAGAGAGGCAAGAAGTGTTCAACAGAACCAAAGCTAAGAGTGCACACGCTCAAGAGCAAGCTGGGATTTATTGCACAGCACCCTTGCTCACATGTGCTTATGCCTGCAGTTATGTCTGCATGAAACATGGGCCAATGTTGTTGTGCAGCAACACGCACTCCTTAAATACCTACCAACTGATGGACTGGGATGGGATGCCAAGGGCTGTCTTATTTCCCAAGGTCATATATAAATATACCCGTGTATATTTGTTCAGTGCCATGCCTGCTCTGCATTATTCTGTCTGTGGTCCTTCATGAACCAACTCTGGGCTCCTGCAGCCCAGGTGCCTGTTCAGTGGGACCTTGCCATTAGGCACATGGATGAGAAGAGACAAGAGCTGCACCCAGAGATGGAACAGAAATGTCATGACCCCGGGGGAAATGATTTGCTACTGAAGTAAAATCCAGCTAATTTTACTGTGACACAATGTTTCACCCATGCAAACCAGGTGGTACTCCCAAGGGATCAGGAGATTAACAAAGAATTTGAAATTACTTCACTCTTGGCAGAGCAGCAGTCTCCCACATCCAGGAAGGAGGCAGACACTTTCCCAGGTCTCTCCCCAAGGCAGCCAGCGTGGAAACATTAGTGACTATTGAAAGAACAAGGGTATCACTCTCAGCTGACAGTCCCCCTGGAAAAGCGTCCCATTGAATATGTGCAGCCAAATCAAAAATAACGCCGGTGCTGGGGAGAAGCCAGGAAGCACCTCCAGGCAGTGTCCTCCCTTAGGAGTGCAGCCAGACTCTGCCTAACTCAGGAACAGAAACCTCACTTCTTTAACATCTCAAACAGTCCAGAGTTATGGACTGAAAAATATGTCCTGAATTCTAGCTAAAACTAGCTACTGCTCCCCCTTCCCCCAGCAACACAAACAGAAGGAGGGCTCCTGTGAAGCAGAAATGCAGAAAGAAACACTCTCGTTTCTTGTGTAATTCTGTGCCATTCTGTGTCACCACAACAGTGACCACGTGCCCCAACGGCAGACACGGTCCTGGTGGAAACTGTCAGAGCTGGGAGAGCTGCACTGATACAAGCCCTGCGCAGGACAGGGGTTTCAGAACTGGCAGTTATTACTCTTGGATCATCCCATTCAAAAGCTACTCACACTTACAAACTTGACCTAGCTACACCCCTGGCTTCCAGGGCGCTCTGCAGCTATGGGGTCCATCGATACCTGCAATGACGTGCACAGGTCCCCCAGTGGCTCCCAAAAGGGGATCCCCTGCTTGATTCATTTGCCCCTTTAAAGAGCAAAGAGGAGAGAAATGAGAATACAAAGAAAAATGAAAGCATGGGAGTGAGAACCAGTGCCCAGGGCAGGCAGCTCAGCCCTGGCATCCAAGCAGTTTCCTCTCTTTTCTCCATCATAACCAAGAGCACTGCTTTTAGCTAAATGACATATGAAACAACTAGACAAGGTCCCTTACAGCAGGACACTCCGCTACTAAAGAGAAACCAGGAAATCAGAGAATTTCTTTTTTGATTTTATTACTTGAGGGTCAAAGATCCAAGAGCTGATTTCAGTGCTGGACTGAGGATCTGTAATTGATCTGGCTTGGAGAAACAGCATCTGCTTCTGTTGTGTCTGGGCGCAGGCTGAGAGCCTTTCCTCACCATGCAGGGGCTTTCCTTGGTGCATTTACACCGCAGGTGCAGCAACATCAAGGCTAGCGCTGTGCAAACCTGCTTGGGTCCAGACATGCAGTGTCACTGTGTGTGCAGCTCTGTCCCTCAGCAATGAGCCTTGCTATGAAATAACTCTTAAAGACAATTATGATGCTTCCAAATGCAATCCCAGCCCACTAATCCCGCACCTGAAGATCTCTGCACTGGGGTCTACTGGGCACTGCAGGCAGGCCTTGTGCAACCCAGTCCCCAGACCAGCATAAGCCTGTAGATCAGGGCAGGGAGGAGGGACATCCCTTTGCCCATGCTCTGCTGCAGCGTAGGATCTAATTACAACCTTTACTAAGAGAGAAAGACGTTAGGAGGAAAGACTAGCACGGGCTGTCCCATCTGGAAAGCTCCTCATGTAAGGCAGGCAGGCAGCCTGCAGCTGAGAGTGCTGTCGGGGGGCTCAGCTGGGTGCTGTAGGTGAAGTAGGTGAAGCGCTGTTTTGGCTGGCAGCAGACCAAGCCAAGAACACAGCAGAAAGCACACTGGCTCCCCATGCCAAGGAAATCGGGTTTGTCCATCAACTCAGTGGTGCAATACCTGCCCGGGAAGGGAGAGGAAGGCTCTGCTTTGCATGCAAAGCTCGGGAGTCCTCTGACACGAGCCCTGCAATCCCACGCTCCAGGAAGGCTCAGCTCCCTGCTTTGAGCCTTCACTGGCTCCATATCTAATGTGTCTCCTTAATAGATTCCAGCAGAGCCTGGCCGTGCCCCGCTCTGCAAACAGGTCTCCGCAAGCGCTGATTTGCTTCAGGTCACTGCTGCTGCAAGACAGGCTGATGGCAAGACAGAGCCTACGTAAAAGCCTGGGCTGAGCATCCTGCGCTCGCCCAGCAGCCAAGGGGAGACGGCAGCCAGGCCACACCGAGCCGCGGCTCTGGGGTGAGCAGCCCCTGCACACAAGAACATCTCAAATACACCAGGTCCTCTTCCTCACCAGGCTTTGGGAGGGAAATTGAGGCCAGGGAACGCACCCAGGCTCGTCCTCAAAGCCAGTGCACGTGGGGCACTGCAGGACAAACATGGAACAGAGTCAAAGAGAAGTTTAAACTTTTGCAAGGATTTTCAGAGGGCTTTCAAAAACCTTTCCATTATTTCGCACGACTGCAAGAGAGCTCTACTAGTATCAGTGGGAGAAACTGCAGGCTTCTGATTTTAAGATGATTCTGTGCTTAATGGGAAATGAGTCACATCCACGTTTCTACAGGACAAGACGCCTCCTTTCACCTCATCTCCAGCAAAGGCCTCCGAGCAGTCTCTCAAGAGCAGGCAATTGCTTTGAGCCTCCTCACATCTGAAAATAGTTTGGAGTGCCCACAGCTACACTCAGCAGGCTACAGCAGCATTCAGATTGCTCTGTCCTCTTCTCTGGCACAAAAGCCCAGAGAATGATGTATTTTAGACAGGGCATTTAAAGGAATGCCCACTCACATACTATCCAGTACTCCGTGCGTCAAAAGCGAGCTTGTCAATTCCTGGCAGCAAAGTTCTGCGAGCGGCATCTTCCCCTTGGCGCCCATCGGATAAAAGCAAGAGCTGTTAGTCCTGAGCCTCTCATATGGACTCGCTTGTCCAAATCAAATTGAAAAAGACATAAAAATAAAATAAAAAAACCTCACACTTCTGAAAATATTGACGCAGTGCTCACCTCCATACCTACAGTGTGCAGCCCAAGCTCCACAGAATCCAACATCGCCCAAATATGTCCTTTTTTAAGAACTGGGGATGAAAATAGTTGGCAGCAGCACTGCTATGATCGCTAGTGTGCAATCTTTGATCTAACAGCAAGCCACCTTCTGAAAGGCAAAATCAATTTTCAGTTCCCCAAACTTCCCAGATACATCATTAGATGAAATACACGGTGAAACACAGTTTGAGCCTGACATCTTTCTCATCTCCCTCAAACTGAGTCCTCCATTTAGCAACTAGTAATCCAAAATTTTACAGTAACATCTGAGTCACAGCAGGAATGTATCTGAGTTTTTTAGCACTTGCAAAGTCTGTGCTTTACATACTGCATGTTGCATGCACACTCAGCTGGAGAAAGGCTTTTTTTGGCCATATGGTCTCAGCTGAACCACCCGTTGACTAAGTAAGTGCAAGTCCTTTAAACCACACAGTTGCACAACTGGAGACCTCCCCAGGCAGGCTTTCTCCTAGAAATTGGTGCTTTGTTGAAAAAGTCAGGTTTTATGGAAAGATAATAGCTTTGTAGCTGTCTGCAGCCATTCACTTCCAGGACCAGATAGCCCAAGGGCATCGGGGACCATCACCACAGCAGTGTACAGGACGGTAGTGCCCAGCTCTGCACAAAATAGATCCCCATCAGCATACTAAAGGAAGCACAGGCCCTGCAGAGCACTTACCGTACTGCTCCCTTCCACCAGCAGTTAAAATAACGGCCCTCAGCTTCTGAGCAGGCGCCGGTATGCACACAAGCCCCATGGCACATGTCTTTGGTGGCCCTACCAGCATCTCCACAAGAAACAATCACATGGAGAAGTCAGCCTGGGCAGGGGAAGTAGAAAACTTCAGGTGGGAAACCTGAACACTTGTCACATCTGTGGCACAACCACGCCTAAGAGGTTTAGGGACTGCCTGCTCAGCTGGGAGTTTGACCTTGGAGATGCAGAGCCACAGACCTATTTCACCTGGTCCCCCATGTAGCTAGATCAAGATTCAGCTTCCCTGTTAGAGTGACCACATAAGCTAACGAAAGATTTAGTGTTGTACATACATTGTGTAGTAGGAAAAGCAGTTTGTAGGAGCAGGCAAGTATTTCTTTAGAGCCACATTAACTCAAGTGTTGACCCTGTGGAGCCATCAGGGATGCAGAGGAGCAGTGTGGGAGAGGGAAGCTGTGGCCAGATGCACTCCTGAATATTTGCACCAAGGCTGGTTAAGAAGTTACTAGGCTCTGCCAAGCACCAGGGCTGACTACAGGACTTTTCAAAGAACCGGTCTTCTTCAACCACTCATCACATAATCAAGTAAGCCTTACGTTGACCATCCAAGCAAGC